ATAAACTCACCAATCAAGTTTGGCATTCTGTATACTGCCCCAGCATGCCGGAATATTTAGAATTAAGGACAATCCACAAAACCACAGTACACTGCTAGTAAAATAATAATGTACTATGATTTGAGATAACATAAAGGCAATACTTGTATAACAAAGCCAGTAAAATACAAATAACGCCGTTCTTTTTATAGCTTCATGTGCAGTCAAATCACGCAGTACCAGGAATCTTAAGGCCTGAAAAATTATAAAGCTATCGGTGAAATGAACAAACAAAAATTAATAACCATTATAAAAAATTATCATGAATTTACCAAATAAAACCTGTCTGTTCCCAATTCCCAAGCTTTAGTTGCTTCAAAAAGATAACGATGAAGATAGCTAATTACAAACAAAATACACCAACATCGTCGCTAAGAAGGAATGTCTCAATTATCTGTCGACCAACATTTGATTCCCAAATGACGCATGCTTGCTCACCCATGAACAACATTGGTTCCAGTTTTTTCTTGCAGTAATCATAAGCTTCATTGAACGTTTGAAATTGTGTATAAAATGGTAAAGCTGTCCGGGCTCCCCACGGACTGTTAAGGGCTCCGTGTGTTACTGAATCCAAATACACTGAAAATATTTGTTCATTTCGAAATCATAAGACAACAATAGTTGATTATACTATTAGATTATAATGAAGTAGGATGGGAGACGCTGTCTTCAAGCCTACTTGATTCCAACTGTAAAGCATTATTTCCAGTACTCTCAACACTGGAAAAATAAGTTAAAAGCATAAAAATCATTCCAAAGCATCACTTGAAAAAATAGAATGTGAAGCACTAAAATGAAGCTTATTACTCAAAGATTTTCGATAATTCAAAGAAGGGAATTATCGAAAATTGACTGATTTTTATATATTAATATTAGATCATAACTTACTTTCTGAGGTTGAACAGTAAAAAGTGATTCGTTTTCTTTTTTGTACTCGGTTACCTGACATTAAGAAGTTTTCATATTCCTACAATATTTAATTCTTTATTGTGACATCAATCACTACAATGAATATTTCTCATTAAATGAGTAAAATATATATATATTTCATTCAAGGAAACTAAAGCCGAATAACTCTCACGCAATTAGTAGAGCGGCTAATAAGAACAGTAATCGACAGTAAATAGAGCCGCTAATAAATATTTCATCAAAAGAATCACGTAAAATCAAAAAATAATGACGAAGAACAGAACAGTCAGTAAAATAAAATTTCAACAATCATGTAAAATATTTTAGATTTGAAAATGAATTATGGAAGTCGTCATAACTAAATTTAATTCAAATCTTTAACCGCTTACTGAATCAACAATTTGCTGAAGATGACTGGGTAATACATTAGACACATCATATCGTTTCTCAAAGTATTCTTTCAAATATGGTCCATTAGCTAACAAATATATGGACGGAACTGATAACACCGTTGAAGCAATTACACCAGTACGTATACGTCGTGCCCACTGTCTATTTATCTTCCATAAAAACTCTGTACTCATCGACTGAAATAGGAACCGTGATCGAATTCACATATGCGAGAATTTCATTATCTCTAATTTACTATTTCAAAAATTCAAACCATGGACACAATGAAATGTAAATTATTGTAAAAATAGCTAATCAAAAGCCATTACAAACACACATAATTTTTTAGAAAAAATAATTTGTAAATTGATAAACAGTGGCATCAGTGCTTAATAATCATTTATATTTTATTAGCTTTTTATTTTGTACCCTAGCAAAGACTACAAAAACCGCAGAAGAGACAACTGTCTTAAATAACAAACTAACAACCAATAATATGAAAACACTAAAAACTTCTTAAGTGGAAGTATATTCATGAATATACAAAAAAATAAATGAACACAGATATAGGATAAAGTGTTTATTCATACAGACGACGTTAACGAAAGAGGAGTAAGATGAACAAGAATCCATGTTGCTTGAAACGATACCGTCGAAATGAATACCTGAACCAGCACAAATTAAATGAGAATGATAAGAAAGAGTCATTAAAGTGCCGGAAAGGCAGTTCAAAATCTAACAAACATTAATTCCATTTGCAGAAACTGAAGTTATAATCTTCAAGATGTTATTAATTTCGCTAACCTTTCATCACCAATTGAAGGAGAAAAAATCGTTTGTAGATTAAATCTACTTATGCGAATTATTGGTAGTAGAATTATTTTTCTGAGACTGTTCTGCAGCTAATTTTTGAATAGCTTTCAATCGTTTCGAATAGGGCCATGAATCACCAACACTGTCACCATTTGCTGCAATAAATTCCGATTCCAAATCACCTAGAGCATTACGTATCCTTAAATTTGTTGCAGCTGATGAATTCAGGTACTGACGCGCACCCTCCACATATTCCGGGGAACTGAAACTGGAACGAAGTTTTCAAGGACTCAACGATAATTTAAAAATTTAAGCACTGGACCTGATTTATCTAATTTGAAGCATAATATAAAAAACCCAACACGCAGTGAAATTTTTTTTGGATATGTTTTCTTCGCTGAACTACCTTTTCGTTGCTGTGAGTATAACCACCTTTCGGAATCTGTGATGCAGTAAATGAAAATATGAAATGAGGTTAATCACTTTAAATAGACTTGTCAATTTTGACCAATTGTTGTGTGCAAAAAGGAATAAAAAAAAATTACTCAGCACAAGCATTATAGTCTAGCATCATTTCACTCTGTGAAAAGAAGTTTCTCATGGCATTCTGGAAAATAACGGCTGCCAACGGCATCAATACAGCCAAAGAACCATAAGAAACGATGCGACCATAACGCATTAAACATATGAAAGATAAACACACAACACTTGACAATAAAATCCACATGGAAACGGGTACCAAAATAAATTGGCGACTGAAAATGTGATCTGTGAGATCAGATTAAATTATTTTGTTTATATAATTCAAAATAAAATTTCAAGGATTATTGAAAGTTTTGAAAGTTAACACGCTAAACTATGAAATATTAAACATTCTGACTTAGAAACACAAAATATTATCAGGAAGAGAACATAAATGTTGAATGACACGGAATTATTTATACTAATGATTTAATACCTATTAGCCCTGAGTAATTCACGTCGGATAAGAAAGCGACGAGCTGCTTCTGATAGAAAATAATCATCAAATATATGCTTTCCAATGTCCGTTGTAGTATCCAAAAATTTCCTTTTGCTGTAAATTGGAGCAATTAAAAATTCGAAAATATAAAGTCTTGAAATTTCCACATGGAATAGGAAAAGTGGTAGATTGGACCATTATGAAACACAAAAGTTTTACAAAAAAGTATAACTTTTACAAAATAAGCCCCTTTATATATAATAACTTTAAACCTTGGTAGTCTGCTGATCTTTGTCTTATGTCTTATATTATAATCTTAAAGGGCTACATAGTACAAAAAAGTTTCTCACATCATTTAGATTTAACAAAGAAAAGCTTTCATAGATTAAATATCAAAGAAAAGTTGTTATAGATTAAGGACAAACCCTAAAAGGAAACCGTTCGTTTTGACATTAACTATCTGTTTCATTTTGGGTAATTCGGACAAATTTTTTGCTACAGCACGCAAAGGCAATAATAGTTCGAAACCATTTCTAAAATAAAAACCTCCACGCCATTCTGGATCCAATGAATCGGTCACGGCAATGTTGGTCTACAGAAAAATTAAGATTATTCTTATATAATTTTATCAATATGCATTCGGAAGTGATTGAATACATACTACTGACTTCGGAACTTATTTTTTCATATTAGGTACGGCATTAACTAAAATAACTGAATTATTGAATCATTACCTTTTCAGCTCACTGACCAGAAAGTCGGCAAAATTTAACAGGAATAGGGTTAAATTGTTGACATTTGGAGTTGAAAATAAGATAACTCACACAGTCCATTGTTATGACTTAAATAAAAAAGAATAATAAGAATTGCTTACATTAACTTTCATTAACAAATTTTTCAATTTATCCAGTTCACTTTCTACCATATCCACAATCTCGTCAGAGACACTGTAAACGATAGTTCTTTTCCCAAAGTCAATCCTTAATTTAAGGTTATCAACAGGAAGCAAGAAAAATAAATCAATTTTGCCTACAAATTTTTTCTTACAGCAGAAAATAATATTAGGGACAAATAATTTGACCTATTCCAAATCCAAGTTTCATAACGACTTTTATAAATAGTCATTCCAAGAGTGGAAAATCGACATAATATTAATCTTAAAACTAATAAAGGACGTTTTAAATCATTCTATGCTATTAATACTCTTCGAGTAGTATAGAATAAAACAATATATATAAGGCCTATAAAATAGCACAAAAATTTTTTGTGCATAAAATTGAACTATATATTAAACTAAAGATATCAAAAATAGATATTTAGCTAAACGATATTTAGACTATCAAAATTGCCAGAGCTGTACCAGCATTAGTTTTAAACTTACAAGCCATTATGAAATGCAAGCAAAGCAGTAGGATATGTGCCCATACCAATAATAGCAGCCATTTGCAATGCTCTCTTCTCCCATTTCGACATCAATTTGACCTGAAATTAATCGAAAAATGAATTATGGTACAACAAAAACAAGCCAAACCTCTTCATATCTCCTTTCTACTTACTCATTATATTTCGAACCAAGCATTCAGAAAAGCTATCATCGTGATGAACTGTTAATAGACCAAGTGGATACTGAAAGCAAAGATATTATCACAGTTAGAGAGGATTGGCATTATAGTTAGTGGATTAAGTGGTATATGGTGTAGCTATGGAGTAATGAAATTTGCCACGTAAACGTGTGGATATAGTCATTATGAAATGCAAGCAAAGCAGTAGGATATGTGTAGGACATAGTGAGAAAGGTAGCCTCAGCTATGAAATATAGGTTTTATTTCGTATATAATTCTTTCACACTGTTAATGTTTAGTGGTTGATTCATAGAAACTTTATTATCATGAGCGATATCGAACGAGACGATATTTCATTGCAACATCAATTTGAATTTTGTGAAGATATCATCAAAAAATTGGAGGATGGGAAACAAAGTACGAAGGATTTACAGGTGAAGTGACAGATTTAAGTTGAATCTGATATCATAGGTAAGATAGGCCTGATTTACTTTTGTTAGCCTAAATGAAGCAGTAGGATTATATGCAAAACTGTTCGTTGAGGTCTTTGATAACATGGATAATTTTTGCAGGACCAGTTAAAACAGTGTGAGGAGAAATTAAAACTTTTGACAAAGGAAGTATCGGCTCGTTCGTTATTCAGTAGTAACGAAAGTGTTGACGAATTGTCGACTAGATCGTTGAATTATTTATTCTTACCTTATTATTTGGCTACCGTAACACAAAATCTTATTGTTGAACCGGAAGAGCGGCTTTCATCTTTGGACCGCGCTAAGGTTAGCCTTTTCTTTTAAACAGGAATGTGTAAGTTTTCTAAATCCGAAACAGTGTTTAGATCAAGGGAAATGATAAACTTCTTATGCATGTAGATTTTCGATTGTACTGATGTAAGTATCAAGTGAAATGATGTTAGGTTTCGAGTTTCACATTTTATTGCCTTTTCTAAATACTTAAAGGTTTTCTTCTTCCGATGTTTGAGCGTCTTACATATATGCTACCACTGAAAAAGTGGAAATGTTGGATGTCACTAAGTTATATTTAGATTATTTAAAAACATACTGTTTGTTTAAACAAGGCAAATTTTCAGATTTATTTGCAAGACTTTTTGAAAAGGTTGAGATCATACAGTATTATTGACTTTGATTTGTGGGGATTAAGCGGAGACAATGGAGAAAAAGAAAAAGGAGAATCGAAGCATGATATTGATCTCTCTAAACAAAGGGAATTAAAATTGCGGCGATTCCAACAGGAAAAAGAGTTGGAAGAACTGGTGAAAAGTTTGGAGTCCGAATTATATACAAATGCAGATGATGATGGATTAATGGTTAGTTTAATACAAGAGGTTCTCTAGAATTAATGAATTTGTTTCATGTATCGACTCAGGTCTGTAATTTATTGACGCATGAAAAAATATTAGGTAAAGGGAGAGGAAGTAGTCAACATTAACCGAATCGTTTACCTGTTCAAATGGGAAGTCATCGATGCAGAGCTGGAATTAGTTCGGAATATTACTGGAAATTAATTCGAAAAAGTTTGGATAGCATTTTTAGAAATAATGGTAAGAGGATGTTGGGACCAGTAATTTGTGTCAATTTTTATTTGTTGCACTTATAGCTTTTCTCCTTTTTTTTGCTCTTTTAGCGCGAATTGATTCTAAATCGTTTGCATCTTGCTGCAATGAAAAGTATAGATGAAATGGGACAAATCGATCAAGAAAGGCCAATGGTGGAACACATGTTGAAAATCCAAGCAGGACAAGCTGAAATTTTACCAAAACAGCCAAGTATGTTTTCTTTTTTTTTTTTTTATTTTTGCTTTTGAGTCCAAGTAAATGTAGGAGTCATTATAATTAGTTGTTAATGTTAAATGAGATATTTCATGCTTGCTACTTCACACAATGATACTGTTTGAGACACAGTCTTTTCCCAATTTATTGCATTATATCTCAAAATGCTAACTGAAATGCATCTTTCTTGTCAATGTTGGTAATAGAGTATTGAACCAGTGAAAAAGGAAACATTTTAAATAATAATCGTATCCATCAAATAATTGTTTTATTTATAATAGACTTGCAGTGAACCGGTTTACACCAACTCCATACATAATAACTCGGGATGAAGTGCAAAAGAAAGTTTTTGGTCTGGGATATCCAAGTATACCGACGATGACCGTAAACGAGTGGTATGATGACATGGTGAAAAATGGGAGGTATTGTATTATGTTCTCTACTCTGTCCTCTAGTTTCGACTTTCAGAAATACGGCAAATCAAAGAAAGTACTACATTAAATTTGTAGTGTAGTTTGAAATAATCTTAAATCTGCAAAGTTTATAAAATTCTCATCAGGATGCGAAGTTTTCCAGATTCAATGCAAGTTCATCTGAAAACAGCTCTAACTCAAATGCTGTGGATGAAGAAACAAGGGAAGAGCAGGAACGAGCTCGTCTCCAAAGATGGGATGAATATAAAGATCGTAAGTGGTATTACTTTTTAGTAAGTATGATAAACTTTTACAGTTTACCCTACTATTATCATGTGATGTTAGGTCTCATTTGATGACTTTATTATATCGCAGCGATTTACATTCTAGGCACAACTACATGTGATGTTCGAACACCTAGTAACAAAATCACATTAAAGAAGTTGAATTAATACAGTTTTATCAAAGTTTGTTTCAGATCATCGTCGTGGTTGGGGAAATATGCATAATAAGGGCTGAAAAAGATTTCTTTGTGGGATTTGCAGTGAACTTTGGTTTGTAGTGAACCTCTTTGCTCATATTTTTAGATTGCAACTTTGTAGTATTTCCTATTTTAGATTGTTCCTTATACAGCGTTCCTAATATTGTAGTCTGCAATGGTTTGTCTCAACTTTTGTTTATCGAAATTCTTGAAGAAGTAAAACTGTTTGCTTTATGCGCCATTTTAGTCCAGTTTCATCTTCATAAACACCATAATTTTGGATGTTTGCATGTAAGCTTTATTGAATGAAAAATCTTTTTCTTCTTATATATTCGTCATGTTATTTTTTTCCCCATTATCTTGTAAGGAAAATATTAATATTCTCCAAATGTTAATTCTATTTATTTCTTGAATTTGATCCCTTAATAAATTTTCATGACATTGTATTTCTGTGGTGCTATGTATAAAAAGATTTTAAAAATTGAAGAATGTGTTATATTTTTAAAACAATTGCTTATATAATGCAATTCATTACTTCTCATTTTATTGTTACTGTTCTCCGTTCGCATTATTCATAATTATTTGGTGCAAGCGCCGCCTTTTGAATTAAAGCTATGTTTCAGACGTCGCGGGATCTCTTTTTCTTTTTTTTTAGGCTGAGTGTTGATTACAAGTAACGGAGCTCGTATAAATTAGTTAATTTAAAACATTGGATTAATCATTATATTATTTCGTATGTTAATGATGGTAGTTTTTATTGGATCTCGTAACAAGATATAATGACGTTTGCATTCATTGGTTTTCTATCATTTTTCAGTATAGAATATTTTTGTTTTGTAATGAAGCGTGTACATTTCTTCGTTATTTATTTATTTATTTTTTTGAAGATGTGAATTTCGTCGTTTATTGATGCTGTTCCGCATGAGAATTCAGTATTTCAGGATATGTATCGTGTGAATAAAAGTTACGATGAATCATCGAGTGATGATGAGGGCCCCTCCTTACCCAAGGAACAGAGATTGGATGGTACTGGTTACAAGACAAAAGATTGTAAAGCTGGAAGGTAAAATTTATACCAATTCAAATATCAGAGATGGTTTATAACAAAAAGTCCTGAAGTTTTTTGGGAAAACTAGGTTACATAAATATTTTTAGCAAAGCCGCGCAAATGTGGACAGATTTATTAGTTGAACAAAGTCTTTCTGAAACGTTTTCTGATAAAGTTGGAGTATATCGAGGCGAAAATGACATGGTGAAGCGCGGTGTTGAAAGTTACATTCTTCCTGATCTGCGATGCACAAGTAATGATCAAAAAATGCGATATCAGACGGTAATGACACTTTTGTAACTTCTTTTGTTTTTGTGGTATCTTATCAATTTCAAACTGCATTACTCATAACTGGAAGAGGAGAATTTGTTGCAAATGTGTAAAATATAGCTGAGTTGAATAGAAAGAGTTAAATTAGTATGCTGAAATGTGTTTGGACTAAGTAAAGTATTCGGAAATTTATCTAGATGCCATTTACATAAGATGTGGAAGGAAAGATTGTACTTGATTCTATCTAGGGACCATAAATATTTCAGGAAATTTTCAAAATGTTTCATTTATAATATCATTATGAATGCTCTTTTGTAGAACCGTGAAATTTCACCAAATCCAAATAACAATGAACCGTTTGATTTCATCGCTGATGAAGAAAAAATCGAAAAGTTTTCAGACAAGGTGCGAATATTTTGTTCTAAGCTCTTTTTGTCAGCATTTTCAGTTACAATGTTAATGAAAAGCGTAAATAAGTGTCTTAAATGAAAATAAACTAAAAGTTTTTCCAGTACGAAAAATGTCCACATGAATATGGTGGCGATTATGACAGACAAAGAGCAATAAGTATCACTGGTCAGGAAAAAAACAGAGAATCATGGAAGCATTCTGCTTCCACATCACGAAGTACCTCACGCGGTATTGGAAAACGGAGACGAAATAACTACGATCCAAATAGAAGTTTGTTTTCTTTATTATTATGAATGAAATTCACGTGAAATTGACACTGCTAGCTACCACTCGTTGAATGATATGTAATAGTAAACCTCATTAAATTGTGCTACTTGAACTAAGTCAACGAACAGGTTTTATATTTGTTATAGAAATTGTTATGAGCTAATATGCTGTAGTTTTTTTTTAAACTTGATTTCAGGAAACGGTAATAGAATCACCAAGAACGTCGGAATCATAAATAATGCTTTGAAGCATCAGAAAGGCGAGCGAAATCCAAGTTTGCTGTCGAGTACTGATTACTCATTGGAGACACTGTTGACGACAGAATTCCCAGAAAATATTAGTATTAGCGAACTGGCTGAACGTATTGTAAGAGCATTAGGCGAACGGAATGAAAAGTTCTTGTGGAGGCTAGTATTTTGAAATTTTTGTATGAGAAATTATATATTTTAATTTTAATCTGGTTATTTAGGACATCGAAGGAGCAAAAGGAAAGTAATTAGACCTTGCTGGAATTCCGTGACAAGCAGTCCTTTTTTCTTCATTTTTGCAAACACGTGAGGCTATGAAATAGCTGTAAATAATGGTTCAAGAGATTAGTTTGCCTATTCATTCTTTAACTGAGTTCTGATTTTGTTATGTGAGATTTATTTTTCTTTTTAATTTTTATGAATTTCATATACATTTAGCCCTTTGTTTGCTTTTTTAAAGTTGATCTCTGATTGGAAATTATTACAGCGTAATAATTGAAATAGGAGAAGAAAAAGCCCTAGAATTGTTTGAAGCAACGCGTGGAATAGAAGCATCTGGTGGTATGTTGATTGCTGACGGTACACGTCGACGCACTCCCGGTGGTGTCTTCATGACTTTGTTTAAGACAGATCCCGATATTCAGCCTCTACTGAAGGTCGAATCTTGACTTTATTTTCCTATTCTTTTTTTTATTATAGTGTATGGTAATTTAATGTATTTCATATCTAATTATAGAATAATTTCATATCTAATTGTACGAATTTGGTAAGGAAGATATTGTGCTTCTTTTGTAATGAAATTAATTTCCTTTCTTGCTGAAACAAGCAAATAATTGGTACTGTAATGTCGATCGTGTTCTGATAAACTGAACGAAACATATTACTAGAACTGGCTTGCTGATTTATCAATCAAAATTTCATGTAAAACTAGAAATTCGTTCGATCAAAACTTTAGTTTTATTTTTATTTTCTACTTTTTGTATTGCAGGAAGTTGTACTGAATATGTAAGTTGAAATTTTTTACTTTTCAGAAAAAAGTATGTAATCTGCAGAAGACTGCTACTCGAGAAATAAGAATTGCAAAGCGGCGAGGGAAGAGGGAAACAGCAAAAGCATTTAATATTACGCCTGAAAAGGTTATCTATGTTGGGATTACAAAATTATCTTCAAGAAAGAAATGAAATACATCATTAAGAAATTGAGACGGGTTTTAAATATTGTAGTAAGATTACCATATTTTTAAAATACTTTTGCAAATATTGCAGTTGCTAGTTTTACGACGACTTGTGGCACTTATTTATTTTAAGGTCGAGATGCTAAAAAAATTATCGACAGCATCAGAAGTGTTACTTGAAAAATCAGTAAGTGAAAGAAAATCTCCTCCGATATAATGAATGATATCTAAAATCTTCGCTTTTTTTCAGTAAAAGCAGTTGCCATTGTATTTCTACAATTTTCAACAATATTTTACATACAGTTTTAATTATTTTAATGTTTTTCATTATTGCCACTTATTTAAGTCTATATGAGTATTGCTTGACACTATGCATATTTTCGTTCTCACATTATGCTAAGAGAAAGAGAGAAATCACTTTAGTTTTGTGAAATTTCCATTTGGCGTTTTCAGAAATGAATGCTTTCTAAGAACCAAGTTAACTTTCATAATTTCTCATTTCGATATGTGTACGAGCTATTATTAAGAACAAAATTTATTTTGCGGTTGTTTGTAGAAGTCGAGATATATTTTGAAATTTCAATGTGGATTGTATGAAATCTACTTGGATTTTAGTAGCTAATTGATATGAGCAAAAATTTGCATCATTTAAAAATCAAGTATATTCATTGAAACGGAGAGTAACGATATGATAATGTGACCTTATTAGGTGGCATAGTAGTGTAAAAAAGAATTGTCATTTCTTGCTGGATTTAGAAAATGATGCAAATTAAGCTACACAGTTTCTAGTTCTTTGCTTCGACCAAGTGGTATTCACATTATTAGCTTCAATTCTTTATAAATTGGAGATTTTGTCCTTCACGATTCCAGTTGTTTAGTGCTTTCTTATTTGTCATTTTACTCTCGTTTTGTTTAAACTTTAATACTGTTTAAAGTTATTCATTTTCCTAAAATTTATGCAAGAATTAAATATGTTGCAGTTTGAGAATTATTTCACATTTTTGTGCAGTGAAAGATAAACAAGTGGAAACAAATCAGTTATGAAGATCAGGGCAAGGGTGAAAATGATGGGGTATAAATTAGATTATTAATCGATTTATAAGACAGTACCATTCAAAATGCTGTTGCTTTCCACATCTCTTATGATCTGTATTACTCGATTTCTATGATTGTTCATGATTTTGGTGAAAGGTTATCGCGATTTCTAATTTTAGATTTTTCAAAGACATGAGTTTTACAAGCGATTGTGATAGAAATGATTATTTCAACAACTGCTGGACATCGAGTGATAGTGAACATTCTTTCCCAAAGATGTCAAGTGAAGACTCTTTAGATCAAATAGATGGTAAAATGGATTTTAATAATGACATTGAGCTAAATGTTACCGGTGATACGAGATATGACCATAAGAAGTCAATGTCTAGATCAGATTTTGAATTAGATTCTGCACCCAGCATTAACTCTACTGATTCCGTGACCAGTTCAGTAACCTATGACCAAGGTGGCGGTAAATTACAATTTAATAGCAAACTGGAATGTGCAAATAATGAAGAAGTTCCTAATTTGGTGGATGACGATTTTATGGATGATGAAAAAATTTCTGATAATGATGAGTCTGTGGATGAATTATCGGATGAAGTCGATGACGAGTTTATAATGAAGCAACTTGAAAAATTGATTATTCGTCGAAATAAGAAAGACAATGAAGCTCGTTTGAGGTTATTTTGCTAAATTACATATATTATAAAGCTTTTCAAAAATTAATTGCAAAAAAAATTTAAAAAAAAAACATTTAAAAAAATTTTTTTATTGCTATTTATACAGCTAGCATACTTTACAAATAAAATATTTTGATTTTAGATATTAGTTTCAGTTACTGAGAACACTCAAAAGCAAACATAAATAGTGTAATATTAATGAAATATTACAGTTCAGGCTCGTTTTATTTTTATTCCAATGTTTTTTTTTTTTCAAATCTAAAACAATTATGTAATGAAAAAAAAAACTGAAAATATTTGTGTATGTTGCATCTGCACAATTTAATTAGTCCCGTGTAAAAACGTCATGATGATTCCCGAAAAATTTTTCACTAATAATTTGTTTAATTACACTTTTACTATTTATGCTCGATTTAGTCATATTTTAATTCAAATATTAGTACTAATGAATACAATCGTTGAGAAATTGGTATGATCTGGGATCGGGCAATCCCGAATAATGATTTTTTTTTTCATCTTATCTGATAAGCGAAAGATATTTCTTAATAATCGTAGCACTTTTGTCTTTTAAAAATCTTTCTGCACATTTAACTTTATTGCGAAGTAGGACTAAATAGTAGATTTATTCATTTAATTATTTAATTATATTCAAATTTTCACTGCAGATGGTTGACATTTTTACGTGAACAGAAAGAAGCGGAAGAAGAAGAAAAACAGTTTCAGGCATATTGGAAAAGAAGACATCAAGAAGATAAGGATTTATGGAGAGATAAAGTAAAATTTTCGTCCTAATTTAAGCTATAAAACTCAGCCCATGATTTTCAACTTAATTTTCATATTCATACAATATTTAGTAATTATTAGACGATGAAAATATTCACATTTTTGCTAATTAACCTTTAATCACCAATCATAACTGTGCGTTTTGTTTTCTCGATGAAAAAAAAAAAATTTAGTATGGACATTTCCGGAAACAATTATCTCACTGTCCTATCCTAGAATAATACTCATTTCATTGTCAAATCATCAGCATATTAAATCTTATCAGTATTTATTTATACGACTACAATTTGAACTCATTTATTTTTTTTTTCTAATTTGAATTTGATTTATCAAATTGATCAAGTATGCTATTTAATAGTATTATGAAACTTTTGATAATCAGCAAACTTTTAAGTATTTTATATGATTGCATCTCTTTTTTCCCTTTTTTTTTCTGCCCAAAAAGTTAATTTCTTTTGGAAAAAAAAGTGTTACATGCGAGGAAAAAAAATTGCACATAAAAATGATTCTCCGAACACTTCATTACATTACTTTTTCATTTTACTTCACAACACTTCAATTGAAAATTAATACAAATAATTTGAGCAGAAATTTTCCAAAAAAAAAAGAAAGGAAAAAATTTTAACATCATGAAAAACGATCAGTTTTTTCAACATGAAATGCAATAAATTATCACGTAAGAAAAGGAAAAAATTGTTTCATTATTTTTTTTTTTTTTTTTTGAAAGATGTAAAAAGTACGTTAATATAAATTTTTTGTAGAGTATTTGAATTCTTCCTAAGAATGATTGATAGGTTGTCATTTTTTTTCCCATTCTCTTATATAATTTAATTAAATTAATCCTAAAAAAAACAAAAAATTGATATTTTTACTTTGCTACCATATTCCTTGCACACAATTACCGTACTGAATTGACAAAACAGTATTAGTCAGTTAAAATTTAGCATTACCCATTTATAGAGTAGAGTGTAAGAATCCAATTTTCTTAGAAAATTCCATTTGTCCTAAATATTTCCATTTTTGTGTAAGTTTTTTTGGATTCTGTAGCGAGATATGGTAGTATATTTCATCGTGATTTCTTGAACTGTGGATACGGTAATTTCTTGAGCATTTATAAAAGCAAAAAGATAGTTTTGACAAATGAACTAGCAGCAATATCTTATATTGAAATTTTTTTTACTGAAATACCTTACTTCTAGGATTTTGCAAATGCAATTTATAAAATGTGTCGAGCTGGCTACAAAGGAAAACATGGCCATTTTGATGTACCCGAGCAAACTCTACAACAAATGAATGCACTCTACATGCAGGTTACTGTAGGCGATTACGGTAGTTTTTTTTTCAAAAATTACTGAATTACGTGAAAAATTCGATTTTAAAACAATGAAAAAAGAAGTTTCTAATTGTAATGTGACAAATGAAAATAATTGTGATGATGTACAGTAGTGAAAATGTAAAAATTTTAAATTAAACAAGCGGACTGCTTCGAGATGTTTCTTTTTCTTTCACAGAAATCATTTAATTTAATTTTTGTATGAATTCAAAGTGGTATTTTTTTTCTCATCAAAATTGCAAGACGATATGATGTAAATGAAGTAGTTTTGACAACAACTAGCGTATTAAGAGCCATCTGTAAGAGTGAAAACATAACTCAAAATTAGTTTGATAAATTTGTCATTATGCAAAATGGTATGACAGATCCTTACAATCATCAAACTTGATTATCCGATTTGTCAACTAGGGTGTTCAACTAATAGTTTATATGTCATATATATTTTCAGATGGAAATAAACATTTAAAATGTGCAAATGAATGGAAAAAACTTCGTGGTGATTATTTTTCAAATTAATAAATATTTCAGATGAAGATGGCTTTTCTTTTATTTTTTTTTCCACTTTACATATTCATTTTATCGTTTTAGCAAAGATATCATGTCATATTACTATCATTCATCTTTCTTATTTCACTACAAAAATATTTATAGATAAATGACAAAGAACAGTTGATCAAAGATAATATGATTACTATTCTTTTTCTCTGATCTTAACAGTTGCTTTAATTCAATCAGTTCTTTTTTTTTTCCTTTTTCGTTTCTAATTTTTTCTTCCTAATCCATCAGTTATCATTAGGGATGATATTTTCTAAGCAGTAAGAAGTTTGTCCACAATGCAAATTATGACATTCAGTTAAAAAAAATAAACATCAGGAATATCAAATTCTATCAGAGAAAAATTTTTTTTGAATTAAAAAAAAAAAAAAAACTTTGATTCAATTTATCTAATTACTTTATTGGTAATTTGATATAAAAATTCAAATAATTTACTTCATATTTACTCATTTTTTTTTCCACCTAAATATACTTTATAGGCAAAACAAAAATTGACTGTCAGAGAGAATTTATAAAAGTAACCAATCGGACAATTACTATGTATGGATGGAATCCACCGGATGGTTGGCTATAGAAGTATGAAAATGATAAATACTGTAATTTTTAAGAAAATTATTGTTTCTTTTAGATGATAATCTGAAATAAACGTCAAATATTTGATGCTTGATATTCAATAATATCATTTGTGCTTTTTTTTTTTTTTAATAAAAGGCGCTAATTTCAACAAGAAATTTAGGCTCTGAAACATTCAAATTACTGATACAAACGATATATGATAGATATTTCATTGATTGAAAGTTCACATTTCATTACATTTTCTATGAATAATTAATATTAAGTAAATATTATGTTAATATTTGTTGCTACTACTTGTTTAAATTATGTTTTAAAATTCAATTCATTCATTTTTTTTTCATTAGATTTGAAAATGAAAATCAGGTGGAAATTATCGTTGTAGCAGCAATGATTTGAATGAAATTAGAAAAGAAATTTTCCTCCTGTTTTTCTACTCTAAAACTTAAATAATTTGAATTAATAGATGAACGATATAAATTATAAACTATAGGTCAAATTACAAAAAATATTAAATTGGAAGGCAAAATTTGGTATAAAATGACAATTATTAGTGAATAGAACAAAGAAAGAAATTAATAATGAAGAAAGCAAAAAAAAAAAATGAAAATTATGCTACTAATTAATATTATTATAGTTTTTTTTTTCTCCTTCTCCTTTTTTTCCTTTTAATTTCTTGCATTTTTTTTTATTTTATCATACATTTTCAAATAAATTAGTTCAGATTTAGTCGATAACAGTTTTTTTTTTTTTTTTCAAAATAATAGATAACAAATTTAATGTTTAAACAAAAATTAATAAAATTTTGCTTATCTTCTGAAAACTTGTTTTCAGAAGATAATTAATATTAACCAATAACTTATCATTCGTCATCAGTTATTGTAAATATTTTCAATTATAGTTTATTTTTAATGGTTTAAAATGATTTAATACTTAACATAAAATCAGAAATATACACAAGGTATGCAAGGTCATTTACATATCAAAATCCTGTAACGTTAGTTAATTGACCTAAAAATCATACAAAATCGCTTACTTATGTTCTGAATTTTTAAAAAGATTTCAAAAAGATAACAGTAAATTAATTTTTTTTTTCATTAATGGAAAGATAAAGTGATAAGTGTATGTGTGATATTTTATAATTTATTCATTTTTTTTTTTTATATAAAAGATTTAAAAGTTGTAAATGAAATCGATTGAATAAGTGATAGCAGAATGTAGAGAATGATAAGAATAGTAAGAAATAATATCAATTTATATATGACAAAAATATTATTCATATCATTAATTAGAATCTGATTTTATAACTAATATCACAGCTTTTATTATTTTTTTTTAAAAAATAACACTTATCATTTTAACTTTTTTTTTTCTGAATATTTTGTTTGTTCTTAAAATTTGAGCTTTCATTTATCAATTTCTTATTGATTCAAATTATTTCACGAGAAATACCAATGCAATAGCTCTTGATAATTTAGCTAGGTAAAATCATTTCATTTTTACTTATTGTCGTATTGATTGTGCCAAATATACTTAACTTAACTTAATTTATAGCTTATTGATTACTTATGACAGGTATACTTTGGGCTATACAAAATGTTTTCCTTAATTTTATAACTTTTTTAATAAGTATTTAAAAAAGATAGTATTTCAGTTTAGTTAAATGATTACACCACATTATTAGTTAGTGAATTTTGTCCATTTCAAGAAAAGCGCAAAAGTCGCTTATCATTAATATAATTTATTCACTAAAAATTTTTGTGCTTATAGTTTTTTTTTTTTTTTTCATTTCTTTCTTTTTTATAGAAAATTGTATATAATCTAAATTTCACAAAGACATTATTATTGTTATTTTTTTAAAAGAAATGTATAAGTTTTTAGATTAAAAGAGAAACATTTCATAGTTATTAAATAATTGCAACTTTTTTTTCCTTTTTCGTGTAAACCTTTTTATTTAAAATTTGACTTTTGAAATGGTAAAGTTTATCATTTCATACCAAAAAAAAAAAAATTCCTGTAATTTATTGTATTAAAACAAATCGTATCATAATAATTAGGAATATGTTTAAATGGTTTAAAAAGATAGATAAGTAATAATTATTTTGAAAATAATTTAGTGAAAGAAATTGGTAATGTATTAATTTTTATAAATCGAGAAAATTTGATAAAAAAATGCTTAAAAATAACAAAAAGTTATCTGTATTATAATTTAAAAAGTTCGATATTACAAAGTAAGGTAGGAAGAAATGAGTGCCATTGAAAAAGTCACATTATTTTTAAAAATAAGTGAAGAATATACCAAAATCAATCATTTAAAATGTATCATTTTGTGCTGAAAATGACAAATATTTTAAATTTATATATTTGTAATAATTTTAATTTCATTTCAATTTCATATAATTTACAAATTTTATTTTCTTAATTCATTAGATATATTAAAATGAAATGTATTAATTATTGTGACAAATCATTATAATATAGAGAAATAATTATGCATTCAATCGTTCAAAATATATGTAAAATGTTTGAATTTTTCGTTATTCTAATAGATAAATGTAGCAGGTGGCAATTAATTTGTTTTCCTAAAAAAATTTCGACAATTTCATAAAATATTTCTTCAATTGGTATTATACTTTTTTCTTATTAGAATAATAATAATAATGAGTTATAATATTTAAACTGTAATAGTGATAAAATTAATGAAAAGTGAAAATTTTGTTTTATTTTGTTCGAAATGCTAAAAAACAAATCCATCCGATTGCTAATTTGTAGAGCTGTAAAATTTTCAAAAATTTTGCTAACATTTAATTACTATCAATTAAATTGGTAAATTGATCAAAGTAAATTATCAAACAACTGATAATGATAATTTGATTGGATAAGCTGTGTAATTTGAAAATTACATTAACGAAATGAGTTAAACTAAATGTTTTAATAGTTTTATCATTTTTTTTTTTTTTTTTTGTTGTAAATTAATTTATAAAATGAATTTAGTTAGAAATTTTGGGAAGTTTTTTCCTGGAATTACATTCTATAATTGTTCATTTGATAGTATTTTTGCAAAAAATTAATCAAAAATTTCAAAGCAAATTTTTAACTAAAATTTAAAAGAAAAGTCTTGAAAAACAAAAAAAAAAAAAAGATTTATAAGCTTTTTTCATTTCCTTCTACCAAAAAAAAAATTTTTTTTAATTAAATTTAATCATTTCTACGACAGATAGAAATCATTTTTCTTCACAAAATAGCTTAAATTTAAATATAGAAAATATTTTTTTCAAAACAGAAATTAATAAGTAATTGCCTACATTTTACTTATTTGCATGTAATCTTCATTTTTTTGTAAATGTAAGCTGTGATTTTATTTCAATTTTCAATTGTTTATTTTTGAATTTTAATCTTAATTAGACTTAATAAGCACTCCAAGAATGTTTACCAATTAAGCTGTTATTATTAATTTTAATAAAAATTTATTAACAATAAACATTTCTTTCAGACATTTTCCGCCTTTTTTTTCTTTCTTTCATTTGCATATTTCAAAATCAAATAAATTTCAAAATGTTTTCATAAGCTAATTTGTGTAATTTTATTTCACTTTCATTTTATCTTATTCAGTTATACATTCCAAGATTTTACATGCATCAGAATTTATAGTTATTTATGTTTGATTACTATCTTCGCTTTTTAGTTTTAACTTATCATTTTTTTCATTGCTTATCACTGATAAGACAGATGGTCATTTTTCTTCTCTGCTAACATTATTCATTATACTATTACCATATTCTAATGTATTAGCTGTTTTTTTTTTTTTTTTTAATAAAAATTACATAATCAATTCACAGTCACTGATAATAGGCTCAAAAATTGTTATTAAATTTTCCAAATAATATTCCTCAAAAGACAAAAGGAAAATTTTCATCGGATAATTAAATAATTACTATTGATAAGAAAAAAAAAGGCCAGTTAAAAGTATGGAAGTATCACTTGTTAACAAACAATTTCATAAATTAATTGACTATTGCACAAAACGATAGATAAAAATTGCACTGATTTCATTGGTACTTCATTGGAAACAAAACCTATTAATGATATGATAACATTGATAATAATAGCAATCATGGGACAAAACTAATCATTTGTTATCTTATCTATCTGATATTTTTTGATTTGCCATAAAATGAGTCTCAAGATTAATTGAATTTATCAAATAAATTTAGCATTTCGTTCGAATTTATAAGCCAAAATTTTTAAAATGGATATCTTATTTGAATGAAAAAAAGAAAAACAACAAGGAGAAACATTTTTAATAATCTTTCCTAAATGTCGCACATTGCTACTATTATCAATAGAAAATACATTGTACAACCAAAATCATGATAATAATATTGTGGTAATGCACTGATGATAATGATGACAAATAAACTTCAAATCATATATTTAGCAAAAAAAAAAAAAAAACAACAAAAAACAAAAAACAAAAAAAAAGGAAGTAAAGGAACTTTAATTTCTAACTGCATCGCTAGCAATGATTTAATTATTTCATTGTGACAGCAACAAAAAAAAACAAAAAAAAATTATAATGAAATAATGAAAAACAAAGTACTGAAAGATCAAAGATTAACAGTGATAAATGGAATATTTAATGTAAACAAATGAATGAAAAAAAAAAAAACATTTTCACAATGAAAAGAAAGAAGCCTAAAATTAATTGAAATATATTTGACAAATTTCTACTAAACTAAACAGTAAACTATGCAGTGAAATGGAAAAGTCTGGTTATTAAGCATTCATTAAATTCGAATAAAATAAAAAAAAATGCTAACAAAATTGAAATTAAAATTTAATTCATTTCAGATTTAAAACATTGCAATTAACATCGAATCTTATCAAATTAATCAAATAAATATTTTGCAGATGAAAAAAAAAAAGTAGGAAACAAATTTATCAATAAAAATATATTGATAATTTGAAAAATTTTTAAAAAAAAATCTCTGATTTCTAGTAATAAATTTTACAAATTGTAATTATCATTTGATTTATTTTAAATTCATTAATGTTTGAAAAATTGTAAAATTCACCAGTCGTTTCCAAAAAATAAAAATATATATATATCTAACACCAAAATATTATATATATATATAACAAATACATATGGAAAGAATACAAATGAAATAAAAATTTTTTTTCCAATATCACGCGGATACATTCAAGAATGGAATTAGCTCAATAGAAAAATTTTTAAAAATTTCTCACAATTTAATTTCATTAGCTGAGCTAATACCAATGAATCCTTGAAATTTTGGAATATTTCAAAAATGACACAAAAAGAAATAAAGATGTACCATATACTATTACTACTACACCAGGTAATAAGTAAATAATAATTAAAAAAAAAAGAAAAGAAACTAAGACCTAATCTGAGCATCAAAAAGAAGAATACTAGGTGAATTTAACTAGACCAAACAAAAAAAAAAAAAGGAGGAAAAAAAACCAAAAACAAATTTTGAAAATTTTCAAAAATATAAATATGCTTTTGAATTTAGCAATAGTGAGACTTTTTTTTTTTTGATAGAACAATAAACAAACCAAAATTGAAAATTTTACAACATTTAAATTTTTAAAATTAAATGAGTAAGTTGAAATTCAAATATATTTACCAGCATTTTAATAGAATAAGCAAAATTTTTAATGATAAATTGAATAGGAATGAAGATGACTGATAAGAAAGAACATTTTATACAGCACCGTGAAAGTTTTCTAAAAAATTAAAATAATAATAATATTTATTATCAAGCATGCTGAAAAATAATTATAAATATTTGTCTTATCAGTCATGCTGATAAGATAATCAGTTATTAGTACCAGTAATATTGATTGATATCTGTCGCTCAAGAATCAGAAAAAGATGAAAAGTTAAAGTAGAAAAGTAAAAAATCACAAAATTTCTCATAATTATTTGAGATGTGTGTGTGTGTGTGTGTGTGTGTTTTATTGTTTAACATTTACTATTGCACATAAATTTTTAAAAATTCCTTGTAAAAATCATCGGTGAAAAATTCCGAATGAAAAATTGAATTAGCAGGAATGGACGACGATAGTTGACCATAACGATGATGTCGATTAAATGATCGTTTTGAATGAAGACGTCGCTGCTTTCGTCGCAAAGGAAATCGCAACGGTTGTGATAAGATTCTTAGATAATTGATCGATGTAACCTGTAAAGTTGCTTGATCAAACAATTTATCACTACCATCTCCATCCAATCGTTTTCGTAAGCCAGCCAGAAAGTTACACATCACATTGCCTAAAAAATATTTTAAAAAAAATTTTTAAATTAAAATTTTTTTAACTATTTTTTTTGAACATTTAAAATCTTTTCATAAATTATGACACACGCACACAAAAAAAAAAGGATAAAATCATATAAAATTTTAAAAAATAATCAAATTTTACCATATTCAGAAGCATGTCGAATAGAGAAATCAAGTTTCTTTTCTAAAAGACGTTCAAATTTTTCACGTACGTTATTATTATCATTACATAATGGTATACCGGATCCTGAAATATTTTTCACGTACGTTATTATTATCATTACATAATGGTATACCGGATCCTGAAATATTTTTCATTAAAAAATGATTTACAATGCGAAATATTATTAATTATTAGATATAATTGTAAATGAATAAATTTAAATCATATCTTTTACTATCGTTTTTTTTTTTTTATATTTATTCAATTTTAATTTATTGTCATTTTTTTTTTGGTTTTTTTTTCTCAAACAATCAGAAATTTTGTCCGAAAAAATCTTAGCAAATTTTTCAAAATTTAAATTGTTTCGTACTATTTTTATGTGCAAACCAGTCTTGGACAACAAACAAAAAACGCTTTATAAAAGTGATCCATCGATGTCATTAAAAGAATCTGTTCTTCTTCTTCTTTTTTTTTTTCTTTTTCTTGTCGTTTAAAATGATAAAAAAGAGATTTATAGCATGATTATATAGACCATTCAATAGTGAAAGAATCGAGAACCGATAGTTTATTGAGAATTGTCAAATGATATTACCGCCCTTTGGTGACAGATGAATGGAGCAAATGACAAAAGATAGTTTGTAATGAGACTATTTCCAGGAAGTGAAAAGAATTTATGAGGAAGAGAATGAGAAAGGATTTGAAAAAAAAAAAAAATATGAAATGAAAAATGAACAAAAAATGAAAAAGGAAAATTGAATGAAATATGATTGAAAATTTGTTTAATAATGATGAAAATTAAAGTAAAAGAAATTGAGAAATTCATATGATTGCTATATTCTTTTTTTTTTATCAATCAATCAATCAATCAATAAATCAATCAATTGATAATGAACTATTATTAGAGAGTTTAATAATAGTAAAGGAAAAAGGGAATATAGCAAAATTTACCTTGTAATTGCTCCTTAAGAGTAATTATTTTAGACTGCGAATCATCATCGTTAGTTAACCTTTGAATAACTGAAAAATATCTTATCACTAGATAATTAAAATATGATAAGAAATAAATTATACTATTTTTTAATAATTAATCAGAAAAAGAAAATAAAATATTTGCTTAACTTACTATTAAAATCTACTCCTGAAGTATAATCATTCATTTTATGTTCAATTTGTCTTGGTAGCACTTCAGACATTAACCATACAAATAAACATAAATTGGTAGGACCAACTGAAATATTTATTTCAAATTTTTTTAAAGTGTAATTTGAAGTAATGTAAAATATAAATAATCACAAATAACAATAACAATAATAACAACAACAACAACAATAGCAATATTAATCTTTCAAAGTTTTCTAATAAATAAACTTAATATAATATTAATTAAAGATAAAACTCACAAAACTAATTTAGATAAGTTAAAATTCAATCAACAAATTTTTACACTTTAAACTTTGAATAAACAAAATGCACAAAAAGTAATTCTGAATAAAATTTTCCTTTCAAAAAAAAAAAGAAATTCTACTAATATAAAAGGAAAATAATTTTTCATCTATCACTCAACCACTAACTCACTGTAGTTCCAATTTAAAGCGCATTTGTCGTCTAAATCAAATGACGCATTATCGATCATATCCTTCTTATAAATTGGATACATAATAGCATCTGCGCGTTTACTGTGACCCAATCCTAATGAATGGCCAATTTCATGAATGAATACATTAGGAAATGAAGTACCATCACCTCGATTATCACTAATCCATTTTTCTGCATCATCTGAAATTATCATTTTATCATTTGTAAATTTTAACTTCTTTCTATTCTCTGATAAACTAATCATTAATTATGGATTATTTAATTGATAAGAAGAAAACATACATCAAATATACATCTTAGTGAATCATAACAATTTGTAAGAAAACTGAAAATAATAAGTACATACATCAACAAAAGAATAGTTAAAAGTAAAAGTAATGCTTTTTTTTGATCGATTATTTAACATGAAATAAAACTAACAAATAATAATAATAATAATAATAATAATAATAGAGCAAAAGAAAAAGGAAAAGAAAAAAATTTTTTTTCTTGAAATAAACTAATTATATAATTGTTTAAATTTCAAAATTTTAAATTTTGAAAATTTACGATATGCTCCCTGTTTACCAATTTTACAGCAATATAAGTAAATGATGCAAATAAAATTGTTGTTTTCTAGTAGTGTGTCTTATAAATCTTCTATTTATGTTTGCATTAGCTCGAAAATGATTCGCACAAACATCCTTTCTAGAAGAATTATTAGATAGTATGCATCCTGTTACAAATCATTTGTGACATTTATGTACATTTAATGTTGTGACAAATTACCGCATTTTGAAATTAATTAAACAATTTTGCTACTAACTAAAGTGTATATTGCAAACTTAAAATTGATAACTTAAAATTACCACAAAGTTTAATAGTAAATTAGTTTAATAACAATAAAAATGAAAACTATTATATGAATAACTATCAATTATTCTTTATTGTATTTATTCTGCGACATTATTAATAAATTTTCAAATAAAATTGCTCAATTCAATTTTACTATAAATTAATTTTTTTTTTGCTTGTGCAAAAAATTATTAAATATAGTTGAATAAAATTATCAAAAATGAATGATAAAAATTTATTAAAATTATTTTGAAAAAAAGGAAAAATTTTAAATGCTTACCAAGATGTATGTCACCATTTAAATGACCATCTTCCTGATATGTTGGATAAAATGTATGAGCTAAAATATTGGTATGATTACCGGTACCATCAAATTTATATGCATCACCATGATCACCTTCTGCCCAAAGGATCACAATATCAGCATCATCCTCATATAAAGCTTCCTCAAATTGAAGTTTTACGGATGGCATTGAATTAATAATTGTTTGAGTGGACCACATTGTAAATGATTTCCGGATTACTGATCTAAAAATTGATACAATTATCATATCATATCAGTTCGAATTAATAACTATTTGAGTACATCACATTGTAAATGATTTCCGGATTACTGATCTAAGAATTAAAACATTTATCATATTTTATCAGTTTCCTCTTATTTTCTTTTTTTTTAACTTTACTTTATAACTATTGTTAAATCAATTTATTAATATTACAACTATTAGTTATGCTCAAATATCTTTCCCGCATTTTCTACTTTAACATTCTACATTATATTACAAAATTTATTCATTTTAGAATAAAATCATTTATTCATATCTATTAATATCAAATAAAAGAGAGAGAGAGAGAGAGAGGGTGAAAGGGAGAGAGAGAAAGAGAATGATTATGCATAAAATTATTTCTTTTATGAATTTTTTCACTTAGAAGAATGAGCGACGTATTATCGTAATCTATTATAATCGTTGTGTAAAGCGTATTTTTTTCTTTTCTTTTCTTTTTTTTTCAAAAAGTTATTTATGCAATTGCATAAGCGATAAAAAAAAAAAAAAAAGATCTAAAGAAGCTTATCAGTGTGTGAATATTGATGATAGCTTTTATTGAATTGATGTCTATGATGGAGAAAGATTAGATTAATCGGTATATCATTTAAATTAAATATTATTTTTGGTTTAACATATATTATAATAGATTTTCTGCTTGATAAAAATTAATTTTGCATGATATCTACTAATTTAATAATAATAATAATATCATATACAAATTCAAATTCATACTAATCAAGCAAATAATGAATATATATGTATCATTTGTTTACTATAACATTTTATATTGTAAATAAGATTAAAATTGATAATGTTGATTTATTTTTAGAAAAAAAACGAAAAAAAAAACGATTTTGAAATATGCAAAATTTGCTGATTTTTATCAAAATTTTATTAAAATTTAATTTGTTTAAAATCAGCATTAAAGTAATCACATTAGACTATTTTAATTAATAAGTAATAACCTCAAACTGATTACTTACTTAATACTTATGAAAAATTTCACCAATACAGTATGAAATGATACCGTATCAGTGAAAATAATTTTGTGATTACAAAGAAATTTTGTAATGTACGATATTATATTCTGATAATATATGCTAAAACTTTTTAAATGTTTCATTTTTAGTTAATTAATTATGATTTAGCATTCATTCCTCTTTTTACTTCTTAATTACTCAATTTGAGTTATTGCAAACTTAATCAAAATTTTTTAAAAATCTTTAGAAGTACTAATAATAATATTCTCTTTTTACTTCTTAATTACTTAATTTGAGTTGTTCATCATTACTTACTCGATATTTATTTATAATTTTTTTGCAAACTTAATCAAAAATTTTTAAAAATCTTTAGAAGTACTAATAATATTATTCTCTTTTTACTTCTTAATTACTTAATTTGAGTTGTTCATCATTACTTACTCGATATTTATTTATAATTTTTTTGCAAACTTAATCAAAAATTTTTAAAAATCTGTAGAAGTACTACTACTACTATTACTAATAATAATATTATCATTATTTTTCTTTTTTTTTAAAATATCCCTCATGAGAAATTCCACTGACCACATATTATTTCGATGAGGTAATAGTGTCGAGGTCACACACATAATACAGCTCTTAATTTAAAATTAATTCAAATATTTGGCCTAATTTTCTAATTTTCGACTATTTAGAGTGTATATGTTTCATTGACCTAAATTAATACCAACAAAATGGTGGGAAAAAGTTGAATTTTTATTTCTGTCATTAACATTTTGAGGGATTGAATTTAAGGAAACAGAAAAAAGGAGTATGTATTAGAAAAAAACTGGTTTTATCTTTTTTTTTTTTTTGAAAAGATAAAAAAAACGAGACTTTTTTTTTTAGTGAAATTGATAAGTAAATCGTGTCAGGGTCTTTTCAAGCTTAAATTATCATTCATTTAAAAAAAAAAAAAAAAAAAAACGAAATATGAAAAAATAGAAGAAATTTCTATGAATTATAATATGATTTCAATTAAAACAATAACCCTAGTAGATCATTTCAGCACCTCTGTTGACATCTTTTATTTAAAAAAACAAAAAAAAACAAATCAATAACTTAATTTTTTAAATAAATGAAAAAATTTTTTTTTGCAATAACTCTTAAAGTACAATTAATAAAATGTAAATACCTGATTTCAGAACGAGGCATATCACGTGTGTACTTACTGATGAACCATTTTAATTTGAGTACATTGTCCGATGTCATCTTATCCCATCGTGATGTTTGAGCTGTAGCTAAAATTAAATTACAAAAAATTTACAAAAAAAAAAAAAAACGAAAAAAAACGAAAATATATTCATTACTAATGAATAATTTGAAATATTTATTAATTTTTTTTTTTTAAAAATTAGCATATTTATTAGCAAAATATGATAAATAATGTGGTACACTTTTTTGTCTCTCTAACAAATAAATTTTGCTCATTAAAAAAAAAAAAAATAAAGTAATCCATAGAAAATATTATTATAAGTCATATTTTCGTTAAAAAATGTTATAATTTAAACTAATCATTAATGATTATCAATTAGCATCATTCTATCACATTTTCTAAATAATAATCTAAATGATATTAGATCTTATAAATAATATTTGTAATCATAATTGCTATTAATTGCTTCATTTAATTTAACGAATTGATATTTCATTAGAAATATGTAAGACTTCTTATCATATTCTGATAATTTTCTAAATCGTTATCATTTCATGACTAAGACCATGATATATAATTACATGTAGTAGTGTAAGTGATGAAAAATTGTCAAAATAATTTGTACAAATTACCAAAACGTTTCCTTCTTTTGATAATTGGTATTGTTCTATAATTCCATTGCATATTAGTTAAATCATTATCGTTATCATCATTATCAATATCATCAATATTATCGTTGTTAATATGATTATTATTGCTAGTAACATAAGTTAATGCATCCACATAATTGGTGGAATGATAATTTGATAACACTGGTATCAATTGCTGATCGTTGACAATATCAACTGCCATGTGCAAATCGTCATCATGCAACATTAACTGAAATATTTTTTCTTTACTTTATTTTCAAGATTTCATGCATTAATTGATATTTAAATAATTTTAAGTAAATTATTTATTTTCACTAAATATTAAACGCTAACATTTACTTTCTACTTTTGTTTATTATTACTGTAATTAATTTTTCCTCTGAATTGTTTATAAGTGTTGAAATTTTGCAATTATTTATTATTATTATTATTTCTTTTTTCTTTTTGAAAATAATAATGAATAATTCTCGAATTAGCTAGAAGCAAATATGAATTATATTTTATAATTAACAACAATCATTCAAAATGAACCAACTAAACGTCTTAAATTATTAATTACAATCACATTTAACCGTACATTTCAACAAATAAATTAATTTTTATAAACTCGTTTTTTTTTTCTTTTTTTTTTTAAGATTTTGTTTGCAAATCTATTCATGCATAATTTAATGTATAAATTAATGAGAAAATTCCTTTAGTTCTAATTTGTTTAATGTGTAAAAAAATATTTCTTACACATAAATGAAAACAAAAAACAAAAAAACAAAAAAAAAAAACAAAACAAAACAAAAAAAAAAACAAAAAAATAAGTCAGTGAATAATATTTTAAATTTTGGATGTGTCCAATAGATCACCTTGATGGAATTTGAGAATCGTTTGGTGGTAATAAATTTGTGAGGAAAATACCAATTTGAAACCACATTTGCGGCGTTTTTGCGTTAAATTTTCTAAAAATTCAGAAGACCTTCAAAATTGCATACCCATTCCTTGAACATACAATTTCTCCAGTTCATCATTTTAAAATACTATTATCCAATAAAAGCATATAAATATTTCCTTTTTTTTTTAAAAAAAAAATACTTATACTAGAATTAAACAAAATATATAAAATTATCATTAATATTTGAATTCAATTATAATTCCATATAAAAGTAACTGAAATACATGAATGATATATGTATTGGTAATGTTTTTCAATGTACTACAAAAAGAAAAAAAATGAAAAATCCAAATTTAAATGAAAGTCAGTCATTCATTCATTATTTTTAGCATAAATTAATAAATATATGATGAATTAATTGATAAAAAGCATGATAAAATATCTATAAAAAAAAGGAGAAAATTATTATTTATTTTTTCTGAAGGTTATCTATTTGCTCGTTTCATATTTAAACAATTCATCATCAATACTTTCATTTATTTAAGCAATTAATGAGATAATTAATTAGTATTTGAAATAGTACCTACTGATATAATTTAGCATTCTATGCTAATAGCGATTGTTTAAATTGCTATTAAATATAATCATATTCTAAAAATCAAGAATTAGTAAATGATAAGCTGTTTAAAGCTCTTTATGCACTTATTTCAATTATGAAATTATCTATTGCTAGGTCAAAGGTCGTAGGAAAAAACATTGTTAGATTTACAGAAATGATGAATTAGTTGAAATTGTTTGATGGCAAAGTATTCAGATGTGAGAAATATGAATTTAACTTAATTAGGCAAAAAAAAAAAAAACTAAAGTGGAAAGTGGAAAATAGTTGAATATATATAATTTGTGTCTGACTAATTTCAAATTTCAACAACTACAATTTTTTCTTTTTCTTTTATTATAAATTTTAACTTATTGTTCACATCAGAAAAACGATGCATAATTTAAAATTGATAATATTTAAATAAGACTAATGAATAACATTTATCAATGAATTGATAGTTATAATATCATCTATGAAGAAGACTCTAAATGTAAATTAATTATTTAGCATTTCAACCAATTTCAATACTGCAAATGAATAATCAATAAATTGAATTAAAATAATAAAAAATTTAATCATTTTTTCTTTAAATCCATTTTATGTTATACACTTAAAATATTGAACAAATATTTTCATTTTTTTTTACAATAAATTTTTAAATATTTTTTTTCTTTTAAAGCATAATACTAAAACTTTTTGAAAATTGTTATAATAGAGAAAATTTCAACGATTGTCAATTCTGTAGTAATAATTAGTGGTAGCACATTACCGGTTTAATTTTATGTGCGGTATAGTTCTTAGTCTGATTTTTGCGCCATGCATTCAGTCAATCTATTGCTCTTAACAAATCTTTTTTTTTTTTTTTGGACAGATATAACCACCATGCAATTAAGTATTTGTGAAATTGATGATAAGACGAGAATTCATTTGAAATTTGCAAATGAAATGTCGTTGATTGAATGAAATGATATGTTCTTGATGACACATACAAACATACACATACACACACATACATACATACATACACATACAAATAGATATAGACATACAAGTAAGCTTTACTTAACATGATTTATAGCATTTTATTTTCTCCTACAGATGGTTTAATTAATAATTGTCTCACCAATTGCTGTGATATAGCAGAAAAAAAAAAAAAAAACAAAAATGAAGAGAGAAATTACTTCCAGATGCTTAAAGTTTATCAATTTTAATAAAATAGCATAATTAATATGATACATGATAAAAGTTGATTATAATTTATGATAATAGAATTTAAATTAAGTTTTAATATATTCAAATAATAATATTAAATTTAATTTGTATCATTTGAATCCCTGTTACCTGCTATACCTCTATTTAATTTTCATAATGCAACATAATTGATAAGACATATAAGAAAAGTTGATTATAATTATATCATAATTTAAAATTGTATTGTTTAAAATAGTATTATTAAATCTAATTTGTATCATTTTAATTTGCTGTATTTCTGTAAATATGCTAAAAAAAATTTTTTACTCATTGAATTATATGATATATATCAAATTTCTGATTGATTTCCATGAAATTTGAGAAATTAAAAACTTCAACAAATCAAAAGCATACGCAAGAAGAAAAGCTGCTTAGTCTTATTTTTTGTCACCAAACAATTATCATTGTTTAGCTATTTTTTTCTTATCATTACTATTACCTGAACTGATGATATGCTTATATTAATTGAATAAAATGCTATTTGATGTACTTTTGTTATCAGTGATTATGATAATATTACTAAATTAACGATTGATTACTGTTCATACATTCAAAAATTCAAAAATATTAGCAAAAAATTGACAAAAATCATGAAGAAAAATTATAACTGGATTCAAAAAAAAAGAAAATTCCTTGCACAAAATTATAATTCAAAATAGACAGCCATCTTCTTTCTTTATCTATTACACACATTATCTTGTTATCAGTGATAAAATCAATGTTTAAGTTAAACTGTCAACTTATAACTTATCAGTTAATTGTTTTGTTTTGTCTTATTTTACCTACACTTTTAAATGTCATTATCACAAAAGAACGATATATTTCATAAATTATTCCATAAAAATTTTTTTTTTTTGCATTCACTTTCTTTCTCTTTTTTTCCTTTACATTTCCGATTAAAATAAAAGAATATAAATTTGTTGAGTGCAACTGAAAACAAGATTTCGTCAAATTTTTTTTTTTCTTTCCAAATTGAATAAACGAATGATAATGAAATGATATGATAATCCATGTTTAAAATGATTAGAAAAACGAAAAAAACAATTTCTTGTTTTTTTTTTTTTTTTTTTTTTGACAACTCTAATCAATTCGAGTAATTCAACTAGATCTACAATTATAATTAATGTTTAGTTCGTTTTTTTTTTCCTTAATTACAATAAATCATCATTGATTGGTGAATACAATGATTCTCGTACTATTAATAGAACTATTCTTGAACTTTTCTCTTTTTTTTTTAACTTTTTTTTTCCTATCAATGATTTTTGTTCTTACAAACAAACAAAAACACATAGTTTTTGTTTGTTTGTTTGTTTGTTTTTTTCAGCAATGATTTTTTTGATAATTTTATTAATCAATAATATAAAAAATTATTAAATTAGCAACTTTTTTTTTCTTTTTTTTTGTTTGCAATTTTGAAACAAAAAAAAAAAAAAATTAGAATAAATAATAAAATGAAATGAAATGATATGATATGATATGATATGATAATACATTGAGCATAAAAAATGTCACATCTGAATAAATTGTGCAAATTAATATGTTGGAAAAAATGAGAAGAAATTAATGGAAAAAAATGAACTGACAAAAAAGACATTTGTACGAGAAACCAAACTTTATTACACAATGGTTTTGTTTGGCAGCACAATGAAACAAAATGAATAAATCTAAAAAAAAAAAATCCAACAAAAAAAAAAAAGAATTTACTGTTTTTTTTTTGTATCAAATTATTACCAATCATATATTTTCATCAATAATTTTTTTTTTTTTTTTTTTAAAGTAAAATCAAATTTTGCATATGTTGGAAGAAAAAAAAAAATAAATAAAATGAGATGAGTGTGACGTACAATAAAATCTCGAGGACAGTAATTAATTATATTTCTTCATTTCTCAAAAAAAAAAAAATTTTTTTTATGTTATCAAAGTTTAAAAAAATAATCATTTTTAAAATAGTATTTTTTTAAATTCAAAAAAAAAAAATCATAAGACAACTTGAAAAGAAGGAAAAAAAAAAAAAGAAAGGAAAAGATTCTAACCGTAGTAGGCTTCGATATTGGATGCGATTTTGCGGTAGTAGCCAAGAAGAGTATAAATACAAGAGTGTATAAATGCAGATGATTGTAGTAATGTTGGCAGTAGTAACAGTAGCAATAATAATCATTTAATGCTTTAAAGTTATTTGGCCATAATTTAATTTCTGGCCAATAAAATTTGAGGCGTATTATGTGCGATACAGTAAAAATCCAACGATAATACAAAGAGATGCACAAGGTGGTTTGACTATCAGTATGGGATCGATAAAGAATTTGATCCATTTCCATTAATACTTTAAGCATTAGGTATCAACGATAGATTAATATTTATATGGATTAGAATTAAAATTTCTTTCTTCTCTTTCTCCTTCTCGAATTTTCGAGAGATTCAGATAAAGTGAATTTTTCAATTTTGTATATCTTTTTTTTTTTTTTTAAATTTA